GTGAACATTTCATTGTTTCTCTTTTTAGTATAGAGTTTTGTGAACTGCAGGATGTTAATTTGGTTACTGAGAAAAATTTGGAAAATCCAGGGTTAATTTTGTTTCTGTATTTTAAGCATTTTGAAATGAAGAGAAAAGAAATAGGAGATATAGGGATGAAGGGATGCGGCGAAGAGAGTTGCATTGGGTTACAGTGCAGGTGATTGAATTGCACCCAATGTACTCTTTGCTCTTTTGCAATTAGCAGCAACTATTGTAGGTATATTCATGTGAGGCTTTGGAAAGCTTCAATTTCATTTCATCCAATGTACTCTGTGCTCAATTAACGATTAAAATCATTTTATTACATTATGAATGCAGAAAATCCAAATACACCTTTATTTGCATTAATTAGCATAACCACCACAAAGAGTACAACTAGAAAGACAGAGCAAGGTTACGTGAATGAAAGAAAAACAAGAAAGCAACTCCAAATGCATGACCTTATAACAAACTATACTTCTGCATCCCCCAGTCTACCCACAGGACAACTCCAAAGATAGAGCACGGTTACATGGAAGGAGAAGGAAGAAAAAAACAAGAAAAAACGTACTACTCCAAATGCATGACTTTATAACAAACTATACTTCTACATCCCCCACTCTACCCTTTCCGTATCATTAGCCTCACCATTCCAACAATCTTAAGAAACAACTCCTGCCTTCTTGTGATGGCGACATCTGCGAGAACCACTCCCACTACAAACCCACTTCCAATTCCAGCCAAAAGAAATTTCAAATCAAATTCAAGTGTTTGAGCTGAGCCTGAATCACCGTCTTCTTCAGTTGAAGGTGGCGGCTGAGGGGCCTCTTGATTTCCGCATTTCTTTGGTAATGGATCTCCACACAATCCTGCGTTTCCCTCATAAAAAGTGCTGTTGAATGAAAGAAGTTGGGTACCTTGCGGTATAGGACCTGTGAGATTGTTGTGAGACACATCAAAGCTCGCAAGGAATGTAAGCTTAGTCAGCTGTTGGGGGATCAGTCCTGAGAGCTTGTTTCGTGAAAGGTCCAACGATTCAAGTTTCGTTAAGTTCCCCAAGGATGATAGAATTGAACCAGTGAGAATGTTGCTGGAAATATTGAGTGAGCGAAGCTCCGTAAGGTTCCCAATGAATTCCGGAATCTTACCTTCAAATTTGTTGCTTGAGATATCAATGGCTGCAAACCCTTCTAGAATCCTTGAATAGTTTTGATCCAAACCTTTAATTGCCAATGTGATTGTGTAAGCAACACTCTGAACAATATAAAAACCATCGACTGGATAGACTACGTCTATGGACATATATGTTGACTTGTTTACAGTAATATCTGGAAACAAAGGTGGAATCTCACCGGTGAAATTGTTGTAAGACAAATCAAGAATGCGTAACTTGGGGAAGTCAACACTTGTTCTAGACTGTCCTATTACACCTTTGAAGCGATTATGGCGCATTGCCAAAAGTTTTAACTCTGGGAGAGTCCCCAACCAAATGGGAAAAACATCACTGAATTGATTATTTGACAGAACCAGATACTCAAGCATCACACAATTCGCCAATGATCTCGGTAATTGCCCCTGCAATTGGTTATGACTAACATCAATCATCCTCAAACTGCTTCCATTGTTGTATGATTGAGGCATCATGCCATGAAAAGAGTTGCTTCCAAGAAGTAAAAGGATTAGACCATCACTGAAATTTCCGAGACACTGGGGAAGCATGCCACTCAAGTTATTTTTCGACAAGTCAAGGTACATAAGAGAACTCATATTGCAAAGCAATGGTGAAATTTCTCCAGTAAAATTGTTGTTGGTAGCTCCATATTCTCGCAGGGATGGTGGAGGGATCGGTAATCTTCCATGAAAAGTGTTGAGTGAAAGCCTCAAGCATAGTAGGTTAACCCAGGGTATGAAAACTGGAAGTTCATCTGAAAGGAAGTTATCAGAAATGTCCAAGAATATCAGAGTTTCCTTGCTTATGTTCCACATCCAGTTCGGTACTTGGCCATGGATTTTGTTTCTTGCAAGGTCCAACCGCCTCAAATTTGTCTGATATCTTAGGAAAGATGGAAACTCTCTTAAGTTGCATCCATTCAAACCCAGAATACTAAACTGTGGAAGAGTTGCATTCATAATAATATTGGATTCGGTAACAAATTCCAAATTGTTCCGATTCAATTGGAGTTGGTATAGATTTTGTAGCTTCTGAAACATTCGAAACTCCACTACACCACTCAGGTTATTTGAATGTAGATAAAGGATCTCGAGGTTCTTGAGATTGGAAAATGAGGCAGGAATTGAACCAATCAACCTATTAAAAGCAAAATCTAGGTAAACTAGTTTGCTAAAGTTACCTAGCCAAGATGGAATTGGACCAGTTAAATAACTCGTACTAACTCTAAACACAGTCAATTGGGTAAGGTTTGCCAAAGAATCAGGAATTGGACCTCCAAATCTGCTTGCTGAAATGTCTAGGCAAGTGAGCTGTCTAAGATTGCCAAGTGCAGAAGGAACCAACGAGTCTGAAAAATTGCATTGAGCGACATCCAACTCTTGCAATGAATTAAGCTTTTCAATCGAAGAAGGTATTGTTCCGAAAAACATAGTATACCCAACTCTCAATGAGATGA